TACACGAGTCGCTACTACCCACACATCTTACCTTCTCCTTCTAGGCCTGTCAAGATGGTTTTAATCCTCCGTCTAGTACTATATATCGATGAGAAATAAAATTCTACCCAATAATCTTTATAAATAGCAAGTATCTTCTTTGTGGAAAAATTTGGTATTTTCTGTCGACAATGGAAATCAACCTTGGGCCAAAGTCCAATTGTTTATTATTATCGTCTCAAAACCTTTCCTTTGTAATTTCCCCATTTTATAAATTATTTCGTAAGTCCGATCAGATCTTAGCGGGAATGCGGTTCGAATAATAGCTTGACGCGACATTCTTTTGCCTCTGATTGAACCAGCCTCATTCATCTCTTCGCTATACTATGTCATGGACAATCTTGAATGATTCTTCGAGATTCAAAAGTTTGACCTAATAAAAATTAACACGTCTGCTTGTCACCCATGCAAATATGCCTCTCACAATAATTTTTCTTCGGTTATCTAAGTTATAATTTACAGAAGAGCTGAAAATAAGTGAGACGATTTTGTCGCTCAACACATAATTAAAAAAAAAATGCAAAGATAAAAGGTCTAAATCTTTAATCATCGTCAGAATGACACGACAAAAGATTTGAACAAGAGTTCTCAAGTATTTGAAAAACTGCAGCGGCGCGTTTCGAAAGACATGTTTACTTTCTTCGCGAATTCTTTTGCAAAATCCTCGCATAATGCCGCGGTTCGCATATCTTTATTATTATGTATTTTCGTTAACAATATGCATGCGGTCGACGTGAAAAAGATCGGCGAAATTCGGCGCCGTCCGTTGAATGGACGGCTACAGATTTCTCACGGCAGGCAGGCGTATCGGTGAGGAATATGTGCCATGTCGCGTAAACAGACTATAATAATATTACACTATAAATACACAAAGTCTCTCGTCGGCGAGAGACCGTGTGCAGGCGCCGGCGCCTGACGGCCGCCGCCGGCCGTGTACATTACAAGCGCTGAGTAGGCATTACCCGTCCTACGGTATTCGACGGTACTCGTTCTCTTATTTCCCCCCTCCCCCCTCGTTCCCTCCGCCTTTCTCTATTTTATCTCTGTCTCTCTTTCCTTCATATTTCAATATTTGTTTTACCTTTACCTTTTCCTCTTTCTTCAAAATATCATTTTCGTTAGTATTTTTCAAACGTAAAAATAAAAACTGATAATTAAAATCACGGAGAGAATTTTATTTTAAAATTTATCCCAAAAATCTCATGTTAATCGTAGGACAACACAGTATTTATGAATTTTATGTGATTTTCACTATTTTTTTTTTTTTTATATATATACTACAGCAAATTTATTATAGTGCACAGTAAAAAAAAACAAAGGAAATCACATAAATTTGTCGAAATACTATGTAGTTGTCCCACGATTAACATGATTTTTCAGGATAAATTTTTAAAGGATATTCTCTCCGTGGAAAAATGTGAAAATCAATATAGGCTCTATAGGAAATCAACGCGATAAACTGTGCGCAATTATGTAAAGTAAGTTGATTGAATAAAATTTACATGGCATTCCGTGGAATTCGCGACCGTTTCAATTACACATACGCATATATTATTTTTCGCTCTTACTGTCTCTATATACTCGACTCGTCTCAAAATACTACGTATTTCACGCTTAATATCTCTGTGTTCTTAGAGGGTTGCTGCCCTCTAAGAATATATTAATAAACACTTTATCTATTTATCTATCCTTCTCTCTTATCTCCTTTTTGCCGTGCCGTGCGGCCGCTTTCGCTTGTCGGCGCCCATCTTCTCCCACGACTTCTCGGGGGCCTAGGCGCGTTTCTTACTCCAAACTGACCGGATCGCGCGACACCGCGGCGTCTCTCGCGGTGTATAGTAACTGGCCTGGTTGAACGACCAACCGACCCGATCTCATCTTCCCCCCATCCCCCTTTCCGTTCCCTCGGTCCTTGTCCCGCTCGTATAGAGGCGTCAGGCGAGCCGTCGACACGGCGCTTCATTTTGAAAGAAAAAAAAAATAATAATAATAACAAGAGAACCGTCGTTCCTCTCCGTCTTATTCGATTGCTTCGCGAATCCGGACGAAACGCGTCAACTCGCGGCGTCTCTCCCGTAAGCACACGTGCTTATTTGTCGTAGGAGTTTACGCGCGCCGCGCGCGCAGATTACCCGTGTAGGTGTGCGCACGAGGAAGTATCATTCGCGTCCCACACACGTTCGGCCGTTATTGTGACTCCGACAAACTCTTCTCTTTCTCCGTCTGTATTTCTGGACGCGAGTTTAGCCGCGAGTATATGCGACGTCTCTCTCTCTCTGTCTTTCTCTCTTTCTCTCGTGTGTTTTTTCTCTAAATTACACCAGTCGCATGAGGAAGCGTAGCGGCCGCGGCGTGTCGAGGACATAACCCGACGAACGTAACTCGCGGGCCCGTACCCGCGCGAGTACCGCGTGCCGCGCACACGGGAAACACCCTGATCTCTGGGATCAAACGGTCATATTTCTTCCGTCGCAATCGCGGCGCGAGAGGCAAGGCAGGCTATCTCTCCGCGTCTTCTTTCACCCCTCCCC